GTCTGCTCCATCCATTCTAACAAAGCTTAAAAGCCAGAACCAATGGGACCAAACAGATTCCAGGTAACTTAACTATGTCCTAAAACAAAACCCAAACATATACAAAGGACGTAACAAATCTAATACCCAGTAAAATAAAGCTTACAATGTTCAGAATACAACCAAATGCTAGTAAGCATGCAAAAAAGTAGGAAAATAGAACCCATAAGCAGTAGCAAAAATCATCAAGAAACCAGACCCAGAAATTATACAAATGATAGAATTAGCAGACAGGGAGATTAAAACACATTATAAATATACCCAATAAGCTCAGTGTGGTAGAAGAAAAGATGAAATGATGAAGAAAGAAATGAAAGATGTCAAAAAGGAGCAAAATAAACTTCTAGAAGATGAAAAATACAATACCTGAAGTGATAACTGTACTGGATAGGATTAACATTAGATGAGACATTGCAGAAGAAAAGTATCATTTGCATCAGTGGCCTGTGTGATAATACTGAATGGTCTGATAGGTTTATTTTAGAGTCCTAGAAGAAAATGAAAAATACTGAAAAAATAAGGTCTAAAACTTTTCCAAATTTGATGAAAATTATAAAAGCACAGATTCAAGAAACTCCTAGTAGGAGATACAAGAAGAAAATCACATGAAGGCATATCACCATCAAGTCACTGAAAAATGATAGCAAATCCTAAAAGCAGGCAGAGCTAAAGAAGACACATATATATGCACAGAGGAATAAAATTAATAATGACAGCAGTCTTCTCTTCAGAAATAATGCAAGACAGTGGAGCAACATCTTTACAGCACTGAAAGAAAAGAAGTTTATCAACTTAGAATTCTATACCCAGTAAAAATATATTTCAAAGATGAAGGTAAAATACTTTTTGAGAGAAACAAAAGCCAAGAGAGTTCATTGTCAGCAGACCTGAGATACAAGAAACATTAAGGGAAGTGGAAATAAAGTATGTTTTGAAATATCCTTACACTATATGTGGTATATAATATTATTTGAAACTAAACTGTAAAATGTTAAATAAAGATATGTTTTAAACCCTAGAGAAACTACTGTAAAAATAAAACACAGCAGTATGCTAATGAATCAATAATGGAGATAAAGTGTAATAACTTTAAAAATCAATCCAAAAGAAGGGAAAAGAACATATGGGCAATTAGAAAACAAACAGCAAAACGGTAAATGTAAACTGAGCCTTCTTGATAATCACATTAAATGTAAATGGTCTAACCACTTCAATACAAAGCAGAGATTTTCAGATTGGAGAAAAAAACAAGATCCAACTATATGCCATATTCAAGAAACTCACTTTCAATATAAAAGACATGCAGCAGCGGTTGAACATCAACCTAGGATCCAGGAGATCGTGGTTTGATTCCTGGTCAGGGCACATGCCCAGGTTGCGGGCTCGATCCCCAGCGAGGGGCGTGCAGGACGCAGCCGATCAACGACTCTCTCATCATTGATATTTCTATATCTCTCTCTCTCCCTTTCTCTCTCTCAAATCAACAAAGACATATTAAAAAACAAAAAAAGACATGTATAGGTTAAAAGTAAAAGGATGTCCCTGGCCAGTGGGGATCAGTGGTTAGAGCACTGGCCCGTGCACCAGACGGTCCTGGGTTTGATTCCCCGTCAAGGGCACGTACCTGGGTTGCAGGTTCAGTCCTTCGCCCTGGTCGGGGTGCACGCCGGAGGCAACTGATCGATGTGCCTCTCTCACATCTGTGTCTCTCTCTGTCTCCCCTTCCCTCCAGTTCCCTCCCTTCCACTCTCTCTAAAAATCAACGGAAAAAATATCCTTGGGTGAAGATTAACAACAAAAACAAAAAAGTAAAGTAAAAGGATGTAACAAGATATAACACGCAAGTACTAATCAAAAGGAAGCATGAGTATATAGCACCAGACAAGCTGATTTCAGACTAAGGAATATTACCGGAGATAAAGAGGGACATTTTAAAATAAAGGGGTCCATTAATTAAGAGGAAAGAATAATTGTAAATGTGGCACACCTAGTAACAATTTTAAAATACATGAAGCAAAAGCTTATAGAACTGAAAAGGGGGATGGACAAATCCAAAGTTATAGTCGGCGATTTCAGTACTTCTCTCTTGGTAGTTGATAAAATAGAAACCCAGAAAGAATATAGAAAATGTCAACAGCACGGTCAACCAACTTGACCTAGTTACTATTTATAAAATAGCCCAATCCACAAAAACAATATAATTCTTCTGAGTTTACATGAAACATTAACCAAGGTAGACCATATTCTCAGCCATAAAATGTCTCAATACATTTATATTCTTCAACACAACAGATCAAATTAGAGAACAATAACAAAGATATCTGGGAAATCTCCAAGTATTTGGAAATTAACACAATTTTACATGATTATTGCAAATTGAATGAAAATTACCTGTAAAAATACTTTATCTATGAATCCCCAGGAATAATGTGACTGATTTATTCATTTGTTAAGTGGCAGTGAATAATATACATTTGCTATGGATTAAAGCACCAGAATAGATTTTATAATCTTTTTATCTGCTCATCCTCTAAAGTGTTTTATAAGTTAGAATTTAGAGATGAAAAAAGTGAGGCAGAAAGAAATTAAGTAGCTTGCACAAAGTCACACAACCAGTAAATGGTAGAGAGAATAGTTCAATCCAGGTCTTCGTGACTTCAATACCCAAATTCCATAATTTAGATGATAAAAGAGATTCCCTTCTTTGTCTCCATTCATTCCTTAAACATTTTAGCTTCTCTAGCAGCCAGTGGAAATGAACAGAGCCCTTTAATCTGAATGACTTTGTAAAGTTACTGGTTCCCTAGGTGGTGTAAAAACATGAATGAGGTATTTAGACATTTGTGAACCTGACAGACACCAGTGTCCCAAGCAAAGGAACACGATATGCAGATGTCAAATAACCAGTAACTCTGATAGAATTATTAGGTACTTTTTGATCAAGTGAGAAGTTTAAAAACCTCTCAAAGAGGATATGCTTTACAGAACAATATCCAGTGCAAAGAATGCATGGCTTAGATATTAAGTCTGAAGTCATGGGCACATGATATAACCTACTTTTTCGACAGAGTTATCACTCTGTTCAATTAGGTGTGAAGTTTTGTTTTCTTTCCAATTACCACTCCTTGACATGAGCTTAAAGACTGTTTACCTTGTTAGCTTAAAATAAGAGATTTCTGTACTTGACTGTCCTGGATCTCTGAAAGCTCAAATTGCACAACCCCCGAAGTGTTCGATCCTTTTGATGAATGCAATTGAACTTTTGTATAAGAAAAGACTCCTTCATGGAGCATGCCGGTTCAGTGTATTGCAACTTATTAATACCAGACTAAGTAACAAGAACATAGAGCTGAGCTTGTAGATACTGAGACCTTACATGTTTTCAGAGTGTCTCTTTCCAATAAAGGATTTCACCCACCGGTTGCCTGCAGAGAATTGGTCAAAGATACGATGTTACGTGATTCACTCCAAGGCAACACATGTGTATTAAGCTCCTACTATAGTTGCGTAGATAGTAGAAAAGAGAACTGTTTATTCCACAGTCTTAAGAGGTTTTAATGTTAGAAGGTTGTAAGACAGGTAAATTAATAGCCGTATATAAGACAGAACAAGAAGGACCTCTTCAAGGAGATACAAAGGGCTGTGAGGACCTGTGGGAGATATTTTAACTCCTTGAGGGGAGATACAGGCCCTTAAGGAGAATTAGTGCTTAGCCTTTAGACAGACAGGTACTAGGGGTGAAGGAGGCAGCAGGCGATGCTTCAGAGGGGGAAAAATTGTCAATAAACACGTACAAGGACTAGCTGTATTAAGGAAATAGTGAGTCATTAACTTTACCTGGAGTTCAGGATCTCTTACGCTACATTGGGAGCAACAGTAGGAGATGAGGTTGGGAAGGCAGATTGGGGTCTTANGGAGTTCAGGTTCTCTTACGCTACATTGGGAGCAACAGTAGGAGATGAGGTTGGGAAGGCAGATTGGGGTCTTAATATTTAGGAGGATTAGGATATGGAACTGGGTATTTGTAATTCAAGGACCACCGTTGATTTAAAGATAGCCACATTGATTTACCATAGTTGTCGGTACCCTAGCGAATATGGACTAACCAAGTGCCCCCAATACATAATTCACATACATAATTTTAACGTTTGTAATGCTTACATAGCATTTTGGTATATGGGTTTACCAACAGTTTTTAAGCATTCCCCTATTGTTGGACCTATAGGCTGTCTCTAATATTCTGCAACTGCAATAGCTTTTTAATGACCTTCTTTTGCTCATTTTTTATCTTTCATAAAAAATGAAAGTATCTCATTTGTTACTTCCATAGACTAGCATCTTAGATATTAAACTGCTTGGTTAAGATATAAAACAACTTTAAATGGCCAGATCATATTTTAAGGTTAATTTGCTCAAGCATTTGTGCAAATTTTTAGTTCTCCTTGAGATTTCAAATTTAGTAGTCTGTGTAGATTTTAATTTTTGCTCCTAAGTACCGTATAGATGCTGCTAAGCATCTATCTGATAAATACTACTCTATGAAAAACTACCCCTTAAGAAAATATTTCAGTAAAAGAATTTTAATAAGCTTAACTAAATATTTAGAAAGTGTATTGTGTTGAGTGAAACTTTGTATGTAATAAATAATGAGAGTAATAGATCTTACTGGATGACTAACCTGTAATTGTCTCAAGGAAAGCATACAGTGAAACAAATTGTTTTGATTACTTCCTCAAACAGCCAGCACAATGGGGAAAAAAGAGGAAATGTCCCAGGAACACTATAAATAGGGAACCAAAAAGCTCGAGGTGTAAGCTTGGAGAAATGACAGCTTTAGAAAACAAAACCAACAAAAGAAAACACCTGCCAGAACAATCTGAGATGCAAGAAAGGCAAACATTCACTAGAATTAGAGTTTTACTAAGTCTGCAGAGAGCTAAGTGGCATATTTGACCTTCACCATGGTTCACAAGCACTTCTTTGCAATTGTGTTGGTGCTGTTGGCCTGCTCCACTGTCTTCTCCCTAGAAATGAAACTTGTTCTCCAGCAAAGAAGAGTGAACCAAGAAAGCCTCAAACTCTTGAATAAATTGCAATCCTCATCAATTCAGCAGTGTCTACCACACAGGAAAAACTTCCTGCTTCCCCAGAAGGCTGTGAAACCTCCCCAGGACGAGAACGGATATGCACTGACCATTCTTCACGAGATGCTTCAGCAGATCTTCAACCTCTTCGGGGCAAATGTTTCTCTGGATGGTTGGGAGGAAAGCCGTATGGAGAAGTTCCTCACTGAACTTCATCAACAGCTAGAATACCTAGAAAAGTTCATGGGCCTGCAAGCAGATCAGAAAAGTGGCACCGCAGATAGTGAGAACCTTAGGTTACAGGTGAAAATGTACTTCCGAAGGATCCGGGATTACCTGGAAAGGCAGGACTACAGCAGCTGCGCCTGGACTATCGTCCAGGTGGAGATCAACCACTGTTTGTTCTCTGTGTTCCCGCTCACGGGCAAGCTGAGCAAACAAGAAGTGGACGTTTGAACCATATGGAGCAAGAGGCAACTGCAGGCTTTAAAAGCGTAAGGTAAGTGGAGGGGTGGGAGGGCTTCTCCAGACATTATTCTTTTTGTGAAATGGTGATATTGTTTTGGTTTGGTGTGTGTATACATATGTATTTATCTGCACTTTAATACTACAGATATTGACAACTGTATGTATTTGGTAATGTCACTTTCTATTTTCTATCCGTCTTAAATTTTTATGAGTTGAAATGGATTCACTAGTGTTTCATAATTGGTTCTTTAAATGGGTATATTTTCCTAAAAGTTGGCTGGTAGATATAATGAAATGTGTTTCCACTGTAATCATTCTTTTCTAGGCATAGGACATCATTCCAATGATTTTCTTATTTGCTAGAAATTGATAGAAATGATGGGAAATACTAGGAATAACTTACAAGATTCAAAAATACCATCACACTGAATATTTGTTACGGGGACACAATAGAAATGAAACCAAAATATATGAACCAACAGTTTGCAGAGAAAAAAAAAAACATGAAAAGTTCAACCTCATTCATAATAATGAAAATACAAATTAAAAGTGAATATGACATTCATAACCCATCAAGATAGGTAAAAGCCCAAAGCTTGGTTTTTTAAAAAAAAATTCTTGCAGAGACTTTGGGGAGGGATGCTCTTAAATTTTTCCAGAGCACCGGGAGCTGGTGATACGTGTCTTTCATATAGTCTGTGACCCATCAATTCCAGGTCTGGAAATATATCTGTAAAAATAATTGCACATGTGTGAGATGACTTACAATATTATTCATTGAAGCATTATTTATAGTATTAAATGAAAGGAAACCACCCAATTTCTTCTAATTAGAGACTGGTAAGGTGTAGTCAAACAAAGGAGCACTAAGCTGGAGTAAAGCATGAGGGTTGCTCTTTCTGTAAAAAAGTCAAAAGTAAAGTAAAAGAGTAAAAAACCAGGCAAGATGCAGAAGTGTGTATAAAATGCTATATTTGAGATTACAGTGTAAAATAAATTTTCTGGTTGGCCTTACTTGTGTGTGAATAAATAAAGAATATATAAGAAATAAATTACAGTGATTCTTTGTATGGGGGGTGGTGGTGGGGAAGGTGGAGAGACTGTGGGGGAGGAAGACAGTGTGGGAGAGGATTTGCAGCATATTTCTATATTTTAATTTTTAATTATGTGAAATTTAGCAACTAAAATAATAAATCGAAATGTATCCAACAAGTCGCACTTATCAGAAATATGGATGGAGTCTTGCTGGTGAAAGGACGTGCTAGGTGCAGGTTAGAAGAAGCAGGACGGAGCCAGCCTACCCTTGGTTAGGGTGGCCAGAAGGAGGAGGGCTGGACAGACAGACGGACACCCATGCCAAGTGGAGAGGGTTCCTGCCCCTGGGAGGGGCCAGTGATGAAGGAATCCAGCCCTTCCAGCTAGCAGCTCCCAGAAATCATTATGAAGCAAACGGGAGGCCAGAGAAACTGAAGTTCGCAGAGCCTTGGGGACCTCCCCACAGTCACATGGCTTTTGCCCGATGTAAGAAGCAGAGCCATGGCCCCCAAGTCTGCAGCTAGTTCAACTACTTTGTCATGTTCTGCTTCAGGTTCATTGTATAACTCGAGAGAAAAGTTATCACCGCATGTAAAACCTGCTGAGAAACAAAACCTATTCCATGTCAGTTTAATGAGTGTAACTGAGTAAGTGTAAAAGCTCCTGACCGATGCCTCCAGATTTGGCTAAAAGGAAGGAGGAACCCAATGGGTCCTGAGAGGGAGGCGGGTGCCCTGCACGGGCCAGGGGGCGGGAGGCGAGGCTGCCGTCGGGAGGTCTGCCAACCTCCCATTTGGGCCCGAGGTTGACCTCTTTACCCTCAAGTTCACACGGAGGGAGATTTTACAGCGCTCAACTGCAGGCACAGGGCGTTTGCTTTTGTTGTAGTTTTCTTTAAAGCCAGAAAATTTTAAAACTAAGTGATTCATTTATTATATAACATGTTATTCAGTTCTCAAGTTAACCTTGCAAGGTGGTTACATTATTTTCCTTTCTTCTCAGGTGAGGAGTTGAAGACTTTAAAGATTAAGTAACTTGCTCAGAGTAACAGAGCAGACCACAGAGCTAGCAAGCGCCAGAGCCAAGACTGCCTCCCAGGTCCGCCTGACCCGAAAGCCAGCCCCGTGTTCGCGACCCCACAGACCTCAACGACATCGTACAGTGTCACTGCAAAGCTGCGACGACACTAGCCATAACACTTTGCGCCTGTCTTTTCTGACCTTCACACACTGTCTTTGTGGAGTAAAAAATAAAGTGTCTTTCTCTGACGGAAGGTGGTTTTGGTTCTTGTATGGGATGGGCACAGTGTAACTAGGACATGATATGTAGAGCAGAAGTCCAGGCGGGGGCCTTTCTTCAGACTACTCTGGTCATCTTAAAAAATGCTCTTCTTGTGGGCCTTTGGTCCCTGTCAGCCTGGTGATGGTTCGGTCATGCTTTCAAAGGCCAAGTAATCTAGAAACCACTGGCACCAACCTGAGTGATACCAATGGGATCTACTTTTGGTTCAGTTTATTTAAAACTTAATATATTGGGGAAATTATGAAAACGATACATGCAGACAGTGTAAGTGGTTCAGTTGTACAGAGTGCAACACTTCCCATTGTTCGTTCAAAAGACCACTTGCCTTGTCACTGTCCAAAATGCGTGGCCACTGGATTCGTTTTTCTACCAGCTATTGGTAAAACGATGACAATCTCCCTGGTTTCTTTGGATTGCGCACTTGAAACATTAGGGGAGGCAGAAGGTAGCCAGTGGGCAGCGAGTGTTTAGCGGTCAGAGTCTCATTGCAGGTGTGCAGGGAAGGGATCATAATACAAGACAGTCCTGTGGATTTACCTTCAGTGCAAGAAGAATGCAGCTCCTCAGAAGTGTGGAAACCTGTTCAACCAAGTTTGTCGTCACTGAACGTGGACATGTGTACCTCCTGGGAAGGGTGGAGCAAGGTTTGACTGAACAAAGGGCAAGGTTCTCTTGACCCATAAATCATGTAACCTTTTCTGGGTAAGAGAGCTAGGTACACATTGTTTTAGTGAATGTAGTCCAAGTTAAGGTTCAATATAAGCCTTATACTAAATAAGATAGAGGTCTCTGGGAAGAAATTTAATTATTTCAGGTAGAAATTCATGTCAGATGAACAAGGTGGTTATCAATCTGATCAAAATGTTAATTTGAGAGAATTAAGAATTAAATTCTTGGTGTATTATTCAGTATAGCAGACTTTTTTTTTTTTTTTTTTTTTTTTAAAAGTTTTTTTTTTTTTTTTTTTTTTT